AATAGTACTAAAGTAATAACTAACTATGGTGTAGCTAGTAACTCACCCTAAGACCCCAGAACCCCCAAAGAACCAATCATTTCATTACTAAAACACCACCCTCTGCTCCACTAGCTCCGCCGCTCCAACCCCTCCACTGCACTCGCTCTCTCATTTACTACTCTCTCACTAAAATAAACTGTCATAACTAATACGAATATATGTTAGGCAGGGTTGGCATAGAGTATTATATTGTGCCTACTAGAGCCAAATTATTTTGTACTTCAGCGGTGCTTAATTCGAAGTGCAAAATTTAAAGGGCGAAATACACTATGGTGTAGAACTATGAAACTGAACTGTGAAAATTAAAGGTACGTGTCTTAAAAGTGCGAAACGCTTTATTAATTTCGCCCTCAAGGGAAATATATTAAATATTTTAATTTAACAGACAAGAGCAAATTATTAAATGAAAATGTACGTGGTTTTGATCCTTACGTAAGAATGAGCTTAAACGCTTAAACTAATGCAAAAAAGTTATTGAATCGATCGGAAATCGCTCTTATCTGGGTGACAGAGCGCACAAGCTCACAGAATATTTCATTAAAGGTGAAGACTGCTGCCGCCAGCCGGCTGGAGAGGAAAAAGAGAGGGTAGAGGAAGGGGGGGGGGCTGTTTAATAAAGTTGGTGAAGGGTAGGTCGTAGCGATTTTTTCCCCAAACCAGGCCCCCCCCCCCCCCCTTAAAGTCGCCTCCTGCGAACTCAACGGTACTATCCACGAGGTTGTGCGACGCTCCGTTCAGGCTGAAGGGCATATGTGCCGTAAAAATCCAAGATGGCGGAGGACATTTTTTGGCATGTCTCATTTGTTCTCTATTTATTTGATATCTGAGAGAAGTTTTGGGGTGGAGCTTTCACCGAATTGGTCGCTGAACACTCCCAGTGCATATTCAGTACTGTTGTGCACATCTTTGTTGACGTTGGTATCACTGTAAATCTGAGTGTGATACTGACTGCACGTTTTCTGTGATAAAGAAATAATGCACGATGTTGTGATGATCATCGCGGCAAAAGTATAATATTAAATTCATTGCTCATGTTTGTGATGACAATCACTTATTCGAGTGACACTTCGAGGCATCACACTGTTTTGCAATAAATCCAGAATTATCGCTGAGCGAAGCTCAGTCCAAGTTGATGAGGGGTCAGGCGATGTCTCCGTCGTGAGTCTGTCTGTCTGTCTGTCTGTCCGTGTCCGTCTGTAACATTCCGTATCTCCTCAAAATGTTTTGCACTGACAGCCAGAAGCGGGTTTGTCTAAGAACCGATAATTTACGAGGATTATCTGTGTGCATTATTTCATGCATCGGTCAGCTTTGAAATATTCAATCGTTTAATTTGAATTCGCGCGTAGTTCGTTGGTATGTTGGCAGCACTGCACTCGAGTGGGTGAAGAGCACCATC